TATAGTCTTTCTCTTTCTTCCTTTTGTAAATCAATATGCTATATTAACACATATGGACCTGCCAATATCTTTAATGAGGTTTATGGTGGCCTCTAGTGGTAATTATATGCATAGAAAATTTCCGTATTGATTTCCAGCTGATGATTGCAACTGGAGGAAAACCTAAATGTTGACAACTGTAAATACTGAGTTGTGTTTATGTTGTGGAAAAGATCTGGGACTTTGCAGTCTCATCTAGCACGGTGGGGAAAGAGCCATCTAGCAGATATTGCATGTAACTGGCATGAGGTAAAGAAAATTAAAAATGGCTTAAAGGAGGAGAAAGTCCTTCAACAGCTCTTCATTACTTTGTATATGGTGCCATAAATGCCCTTTGTTTTCTATTCATTATCATGTTGCCTTTTCTTTTGATTAATAGTATTGGGAAATAATATTGTTCAATATTGTGTTTTAAAGCTTCTTTCACAGTCTTCTGATTATTTGATTTTTAAAGGACACGATATCCTATTTCAGCTCCGGGCAGCTGTAAAAGATCTGAAAAAAAGCTCTTCTAGCAGACAGACAAATTGATCCAGAGAGAAAGAGAGACAAAAAATAGACCACTGAAAACCAGCTGTGCAGGAAGCAAAACACTGTAATAGGACTGAATATGAAATGATCAGAGAAATAGTATTAGGTTTTGAGCAGTAATAGATCCTTTTATCAACTTGTTGCTTGCACTTAATTGTTTGTCCTCTCCTTTGGCAAATTCCTCAGCTACATTTCAGAGATCTGGCAATATCCTTCTATGATATCAGGGCAAGCTCCATGTCTCTCCTATGTAAGGTGAAATCCTGTTACGCCCAGTACGACCACCTAGGTTGGAGGAAATGTTAATGGCTTTAGCACATGTCATTTATCATTTCTCTCAAATCCACCTTGAAACCATTATCATTATAAAAAAGCCTTAATGCCAGAGAAAAGTGTTTTTCTGTGATACACCATTCAGAAATCTTTCACATTATGTTCTCCCTTCCTTTCTCCAACACCAAGAGCAGTTGATAGTTCTGTAAAATGTTCTTAAACTGCCAGGTAAAACATTGGATTAAGAAGGATTACGCAGTAATGATGAAGTTCACCCCAGACATGATGTTGTCTGTGTTCAGTGGGTCTGAAAGAATCCCCTCCTAACTCTGTTGTTAGCTGTGACTGTGCTTTTTATAGAGTTCATCCAGGTGCTCTAAACTACAAGTATCCAAAAATATTCTCAGTGGAAGGTAAGATGATTGCTTAGAAGGGATGGGACTCTACTTGCCTTCAGTTTTGTTTTAAGTAATGCAGCACATTTCATAGTAAATTAAAAGAATAACATTCTAGAGTACCTTCCAAAAAGCACCCAAAACTTGCTGGCAACTTAAATGCTGTTACCCTTATAATACTCCTCAAGGAGACTGTTGTTTATCCTTGTTTCTCAGGCTAAAAAATGGGTATCAGAGAGACAAAAAAGTCAGGTAGTTATGAAGTGTCTGATATAAAAATATAATGGATGTTTCCTAGCTATAGCCTACCATTCAAATTTCTTAGCCCATTCTCTCCCTCTCTTTATAGCAAGGGGTGTTTTGAAAATCCCACAGAAACCCAGATTCTCTCTCATCTTTCTCTGGGCAGCTGACATATGAAGCTGCTTTTATTATCACTCTAGGCTATTCTTTAGTTTTTCTACCCTGCTAGAGCTCCCTTGGCTTGTCCTGCATTATCTTCAAAGCACAAAGTGCACTATTATTTCCCTTTTACACAAGGCGCATGTATGTCCCTGTTAGTCTGTGGCAATGAACAGGCAATGTAAGAACCATATCGTGTGACTCCCAAATGAAACCAGCTGCATATTATTTTCACTTCAGTAATGAAGTCTATGCTTGACCAAAGTATGTAAGCTGGCAAGCTACTCTTTAGACTCGATTTGATTAGAACAGATTTTTTCTAGTCATTTTTGTTTGGGTTTCATGCTTAGAAAATAGAAGTATGGTCAGAAATCTGAATTTGTTACTACCTCTGCTCCCAATGAGTCAGATTTGCTGCTAGTCTAAGCCTACAGGATTTTATTAAGTCAGTGGAAGGGCCATCTTTCAGTACTGGTGTGAATCATAACTACTTAATAGGGCTGTGCGCATGTCCAGATCAAAGCCCTGGCTTCGTTAGGCTTTCCGAACAGCTTTGGAAAAGCTTTGGAGCCGCTTCGGAGATCTGGCCATAGGGTATAATAGGGAATCAATGAAATATCAATACCTTTGTTGTTTTTTGTCTGATTTGGATGAAATTTGCAGAGATGGTAGGCTGTGCTAAGAGCATGAAGCTGGCCAAGGTTCAAGAATATTGGTGCAGGGGTTCAGGGGGAACTGCACCCCAAATTTTTGAAAGCAAAACTCATGTCATGTCCATGTGTTATAACACAGGGGCGTGAAAACTGCAGGGGTGGTGGCTGCTAGTGAGGCCACAAAGCCTGACAAGTTTCAAGAAGTTTGGTGCTGGAGTTTGGGGGGAACTGCACCTCAAGCTGCAGACAAGTAAAACTCGTGACATGGGTGACACTGTGTGTGTTAAGGCGCAGCAGTATGAAAGCTGCAGGGATGGTAGCCCCTGCTGCAGCCAAAAGCGTGCCAGCTGTTGAGGAGATTGGTGCAGGGCTTCTGGGTTCTGGGGCCCTGCACCCCTAGCTGCTGACAGGCAAAACTGCTCTAGGATAGGTAAAGATAGATAGGATAGGTAAAGACTAACCCAACCATGGTTAGAGGCCTGCCCTGAGACCAAGACCCCAGAGCACTGGGTGCTGTGCAAACACCCAGGAAGCTATTGTCCTGACCCCAGGTGTATACAGTCAGGATAGACAGGACAGGCTCCTTATTCCCACTGAGCATGCCTGAAACACCTGGGGGGTTCACTGATACATCCCAAATCCTTCAGGGCCTCTGTGGTACATGGAAATCAAAGCTCTGCATCCTTGCTGAGACCTGAAAAGCCGAGCTCCTGTCTGTGTGAAGGCTGGTGTCGGGTCACTGCTTGAGCAGTGTCCATCCAGCACACCAGCCATGTGAGGCAGCATGGAAACATGGTCATTCTCAGCCAGCCCAACCCCAGGACAGCAGTGATTACCTTTCCAGTGCCAGGTAACACTGCTCCCCTGTTCCAACACAGGTGATGTGAAGGGTGACACCCTGATAGATATTGGCAGTGGCCCCACCATTTACCAGCTCCTTTCTGCCTGTTTAACGAGATCATCATTTTGGACTATACAAACCGGAACTGCCAGGAGCTGGAGAAGTGGCTGAAGAAGGAGCCGGGAGCATTTGACTGGACTCCAGTGGTGAAATATATGTGCAAGCTGAAGGGACAGAGGTAGGAGGATTGGCTACTGACACCCCCTTCAAGGGAAGGGGTCTTTCCCTCCTTTTTTGGAGGGAATGAGGGTTTTTGGAGAATCAGTATGCTAAAGGTGTCAATAGGAAATTAAACGTATTTAATTTGCTAAGGCGGTGACTAAGTTTAAGTTAGCCAAGGGAGTCAAGGAGAATAAGAAATCCTTCTTTAGGTACCCAGGGAGCAGAAGAAAAACAAGTGGAAGTGTGAGACCCCTGATTAACACCTCAGGACAGCTGGTAACAGACACTCAGGAAAAAACTGAACTCCTGAATACCCACTTTGCTTCGGTATTTCACCAGACCAAGAGGAAAGACAAGTGAGATAAGGATCACAGGGGACATGCCAGGACTGTTAGCCTTCCCACTGTGGATGCTGAGCTGGTGCAAAACTGGTTAGAAAAGCCAGACATTAATAAATCAGCAGAACCAGATGGACTCCATCCGAGAGTGCTGATGGAGCTGGCTGGGGTCATTGCAGGACCCCTGGCAAAACTCTTTCAGAAATCATGGAACACAGGGGAGATCCCTGAGGGTTGGAAGAAGGCCAACATTGTGCCCGTCTTCAAGAAGGGAAAGAGGGAGGACACAGGCAATGATAGGCCAATCAGCCTAACCTCCATCCCAGGGAAAATCCTGGAAAAACTCATTAGAGAATCTATGCGTGATATGCACATGGAGAGTAAGATCCTGAATTACAGCCAGCGTGGCTTCATCGCAGGTAGAACTTGTCTTACCAGTCTCATCTTCTACAACCAGGTCTCTCACCACCTGGACACAGGAGAGAAGGTCAATGTTATATACCTAGATTTCCAAAAGGCTTTTGATCTAGTATCCCATGATATCCTTGTGGAAAAATTGGAAGACTGTTGGCTTAACTGCTCGACAGTTCAGTGGATGGAAAACTGGCCGTATGGTAGGACCCAGAGAGTTCTCATGAATGGATCTGTGTCATCCTAGCAAGAAGTGGCCAGTGGTGTCCCTCAGGGGTCCGTGCTTGGACCGGTGCTTTTCAACATCTTTATCAGTGATTTGGATGCGGGGGTGAAAAGCTTACTGGCCAGGTTTGTGGACGACACCAAGTTATGGGGCAGCATGGTCACACCAAAGGATAGGTTGCAGATACAGGTGGACCTGAACAGGCTGGAGAGTTGGGAAGACAGGAACTAGATGAAGTTCAACACTCAGAAGTATAAGGTGCTCCATCTGGGGCCAAACAATCCCCAACAGACCTCAGGCTCGGTGACAACAATTTGACTTGCACCACAGCCAAAAGGGACCTACGGATAATGCTCGACCATCGCATGAATGTGAGCTGGCAGTGCAACGCTGTGGCCAGCAGGGCAAACAACATGCTGCCACCCATATGATCAGGGACTTGCAATACAAGCCCTATGAGGAAAGGCTGAGGGACTTGGGCCTCTTCAACCTACAGAAGAGTAGGCTGAGAGGGGACTTGGTAGCAGCTTACCGCTATGTCAGGGGAGTACGTCAAGGGCTAGGTGAACAGCCCTAGGGAAGACCAGGAGCAATGGATACAAACTGCTGGAAGGCTGCTTCGGGCTCAAGTCCAAGGAAAACTCCACAATCAGGGTATCCAGACTGTGGAATAAACTCCCTCCAGAAGTGGTACAGTCACCTACCCTGGAAATCTTCAAAAGGAGATCGGACAGTCACCTTGCTGGGGTCACTTGACCCCAGTTGTCTTTTCCTGCCTATTGAAGCGGACTGGACCCGATGATCTACGAGGTCCCTTCCAGTCCCTTCCAATCTATGAATCCATGAAAACCCTAGAAAACCCCACACTATATATTTTTGCAGTCAATTCAACCTTTCCTGGTGAGTTTCTGTATAATTCCAGCAGAGGGCTCATCAGCCCTTCATTCTAGCTAAGCTCTCAACAGCCTTCTCTCCCATGAAGGAGAGGGCCTCCAGACAGGATCTTTATCTCTGCCGCCTTGCAAAGGGCCATGATGTGAATAAGGCAATGCAAATAGTAGGTGGGAAAACAGCTGCAGCTGTAGCTACATGCTGCAACTCTAGCAGTTTCTCCTGATGTGATACAGCTGGTGCTAACCAACTCAAGTAACTTTAATTTAGTCTCTCTGGTCCTGGGGCTTCCACAGCTAAATGCTTCCCATGCTGGCATCTAAGCTCCACTGAAGCAGCTTTGGGGGTGTCTGCACAGCGTGGCCTTGTTCCTCTGGTTTGCAGTGCAGATGCACCCCGAGTCTCCCTCTGGGGACCCTGAGCTCAGAGTTAGGGGCCTTTCTCTGTCTGGGAACAAGTGCAGGTGCCTGGCCATGGCTTCAGTGGCTTCTTGTGGCAGTAAGGTCTACAGCCTCATTGTGTATAATGGGGAGGACGAGCATCCCCTCTTCAAGGCACTGCTGTTCAGTTTCATTGAATGGCCTCCCATTTCTATCCATACAAGCTTCTAGCCAGGCAGGTGACTGAGAGGTTTAATGCACTCAATATTTCTTCCCAGGGAAAAGTGGGCTGAGAAGGAAGAGAAACTGAGGAAGAAAGTGAAGCAGGTTCTAAAATGTGATGTGAGGAAACCCAACTCTCTGGCCCCCCTGACACTGCCTGCGGCCGACTGCCTGCTCTCCATGCTGTGCTTGGAAGCTGCCTGCAAAGACCTGGGCACCTTTCATGGTTCCCTGAAGAACATCAGCTCCCTGCTAAAGCCAGGGGGACACTTGGTAACAGTGACGGTGCTGAAAGAAGCCTACTACATGGTTGACCAGCGCTGCTTCTCCTGCCTGTACCTGGACCAGGAGTCAGTGGAAGAAGCCATTAAAGATGCTGGGTTTGACATCAAGTTCTTCAAGGAGATTCAGGAACATTCCCCAAACACCTTTGCAGACTTTGGAGCCTTGCTCCATGTGGTTGCATGCAAGCCGGGCCCTAAACCAGCACAATGAAGAGCGTTGCTCAGTATTGACGCCAGCTTGAATCCTTATTTGTCTGCTCTGCATCACACCCAGAAAATGCTGATGCACAGCATAGCAGGTGAGCCACTTTGGCCAAAAATTACCTCTTGCTTTTCAATAAAGTGGAGCTGGAAACCTCTGCCAGCTTGAAAGGATTGTTAGTGCTCCCTACCACCTTTGGGGGGAGGCGGCTGTCTCCTGCAGTGTTGGTGGGTTCAGTGGAGGAGCCAGCTTCCAGAAACAAGAGAACCTTGTTAGTGAAGTTCCCTTCATTAGTAAATAAAGGAAAGGGGAGGGAAGTAAGTGGGAGCCATCTGTGACTCAGAGCCCTGGGTCCCAGTGTGCAGTGTCTCGATCGCTATGCTTGCACCTTCTTGCCAGTCTAAGCCCAGCAGGTGCCCTGTTTGGGGTGCAAGCTGCCAGTGTGGAGCTGGAGCCAAGCCCTGGTCCCCACGGGAAAGGTCAGTGCAAGCGCGGCGCACGTGCGCAAGCAGGGACCCGGGCAGCGCAGCAGAGGCTTGGCCGCCTGGAGGCGTGCGGCGATTGGCTGGGAGGGATTCCGTTCTGTGCGCTGATTGGTCTGCCTGCGACCCTCTGTGATTCCATTGTACTGGCAGGGGCAGGGATGCAGGATGCGGGGCCGGGCCAAGAGGGGCTATCCTTGCTAGCAAGATTTGCACGGAATCCTACCCCCACCTTCTTTTTTTATATTTTTAAAGAGGAAAAGAATTAAATGAAAACCCTTTGTGCAGGAAGAGTGGAAAGAAACCGTGTGGGTTCTTCTGGAGAGTCGCTGGCCCTTCCTTGTCACAGCAGTCATGTTTTTGAGAGGAGAGGGGGTGGAAGTGGCAGTGAAACTTGGAACGGTGGCGGTGTGTGCCAATAAGTGTGCATGCGCGTGCACAACACTTGCTACAATCAGCGCGGCCATCCCCGCAAGCAAAGTGGGGGATCGATGCGGGTAGTTACAGATGATGTTTGCGTCTCCATGCATGTTAACATGCGTCAAGACCGATAACATAGATTTTCTGTGCATCCATACAGAGCATACCCCCGCACTCCCCCCAAAAAAACAAACCACAAAACAAAACAAAAAAAACACTGTGGAGAGTGACATCTTCTCGGTGCTGCCCTCCTAGTGCTTCAAAGCAGCCCTGGCAGGTAGGATGGAAAACCCAAGAAAAGCCCATTCCATGCCGGGCATCGCAGCCAGCGTGCAAAGACAGACACTCACCACATGGAACTGTGTGAAGCAAGGCTGACAGCTCATGTGGCAGGCATGCCGCGGCCTCATGGGCTTGAGCAGAACACGTGGTCTGATTGGCTGGGGCATTTCCCTCCCCGCCAATCAGGAGACAGCAGGAGGAAGGCTTGCGCGCCCTGCCTTAGAGACAAAGTAACAAAGTGGAGCTGAGGGGGACTGACCTCCCCAGGCTTTCCTATTGGTCCCCCATAGGGGAGCAGGGCCTCCAGAGAGAATAAAAGGCCACGTGGCGAGTGCACAGATGACATCAGCAATGGACAACAGCGGACAGCAGAGAAGAGCTGGTAGAGCTGGCCAGCAGGGGGGAGCAGTAACTCCAGAAGCGCCCTGAAGAGACAGGAGCAGCGGGTCCCTGCCATAGCAGGGGAGATGGGCTGAGAAGAGCTGGTAGAGCTGGCTAGCAGGGTGGGGAGCAGTAACCCTGGAAGCGCCCTGAAGAGGCAGTGCCCAGACGAGGTGAGACCCAGCCACGGAGCTCTCTCCACCCTCTGTGCTGGAGCCTGGGGGGGGTGGCGGGCTGCAGAAATATGGCCTGCCACTGGGGACCTACGGCCCCTCTGCAGGCCTGGGGGCATGAAAGGCTGTGGGGAGTAACATCCCGAGCCACATGGGTGCAGTATGGCTCATAGTTCCTGTCAAGCACCGGTGACCCGGGGGGTGGGCAGCGGTCAGGCTTGCAAGTTTCCGTTCCTTCCCTTAAGGCATCATTTGGGGGGACAGTGGGCGAGGTCCCTGGGCCTCGGCCACAGTTGTCCCTTAAGGCGTCATTCAGGTGGGCAGAGGCTCAGGTCTGTAGCCTTTTCCGGTGCCCCCTTAAGGCGTCATTTGGAGGGACAGCAGGCAGGGTTGGTTTGTCTCTGCCCGTTGTCCTCTCTTAAGGTGTCATTTGGGTCAGCAGCAGGGAGGGCCGGAGGGCCCCCGCAGTTCTCCCTTAAGGTGTCATTCGGGTAGGCAGCGGCAAGGTCCGTAGGCCCCCACTGTCCTCCCTTAAGGTGCCATTTGGGTTGGCAGCAGGTAAGGTCCGAGCCTCTGTAGTTCTACTTTAAGTTGCCTTTAGCGGGGGCAGCGGGCAAGGTCTGTAGGGCTTGGCCCGCAGCCCCCACTTAAGGCATCATTTGGGGCTGCAGCAGGCAAGGGCCGGAAGGTCTCCGCTGTCTGCTCTTGGGGTCATCTTGCCGAGCTGCGGTGTGGTGCTGCCCCGCTTGCAAAAGGATCAAGTACTGACAGTCTTTCACACCCCCAAGCCTGAGCTATGGTGTGATGCTGCCTAGCTCTATGGGCGGTCAAGCACTAATGGTCACTTGAGGGGATTTGTGCCCTCTCAAGACCATCGGGAAGTACGAGACTAATGCAATTGATGGGGCCTTCCTCGGCACTTCCTCGGTGCCTGGCATCTTTCACCTCCAAGTTCATCCTTCCCTGCTGCGCTGTTTCTCCTCTCCTTTCCTGTCATTTCACCTCCAAGTTTCCCCACCTGCTGCCCTCTTTCATTTCTGCAGTGGTCCTCTTGTGACCACTGCATGCTGAGTGCCTATGAGCTGGCCACCCAGGATGCTGAATCCCTTGCTGAAAAGGGATTAGTGGGAGACATCACTCATCTTTGCTGTCCGGTTGCACCTGTCACCTGAAGCTTCAGCTGTGAATCTCATGAATCAGGTTGCCTTCAGGGGTCAACCCACATTGATTGCCACCAGAAAGAGAAGGATAGAAGATGACAGAAAAGCAGGTGTGAGCTGGCCTGCTATTTAAGGGATGAATAAAATTGATCTGCCAGCCACCTCCTTGGTGCCTGGTGCCTTTCACCTCCAAGTTCCTGCTCCCCCACTGCACTGTTTCTCTAATCTTCTCTCCTGTTATTTCACATCCAAGTTTCCCCACCCGCTGCCCCCTTTCATTTCTGCAGTGGTTCCCTTGTAACCACTGCATGCTGAGTGCCTCCGAGCTGGTCACCCAGGATGCTGAATCCCTTGCTGAAAAGGGATTGATGGAAGACATCACTTGACTTGGCTCTACAGGAGTCAAGTGTCGGAGACTGGACCGGCCACCTGAGGCCGCAGCCCCGAATCCCTGAAAACTGGTCCTCTTTGAGGGTCGATGCACATCACCCCAGGAAGGACAAGCAGATGAAATGGCAGAGGAGCAGCAGTGAACTGACCAGGAGGGAAGAAAGCCAGGCCAACCTAACAGGAGGCAAAGGTAAGAGAATTTGAACATGGGGAATGTCTGCTCCACGGGTTCTATTGCTAAGTTGCACACCCTGGGATTTGGGAGGTTTGGGATGGTGGGATTTCCTGTGCCCCTGGTCTGGGAACAAGGTCCATGTACCCTGCCTTTATTGTTGCTCATCTGAGGCTACTTTGTGAGGTTGGCCAGAGGTATTGCCCATGGGTTATGGGGAAAGTTGCAGGTTTCCAGAGGATACTAAGTGCATTAAGAGTTCAGCTGCTAGATGTGTGCTCTGCTCTGTTCACTTACAGCCCATCTCGGTCTCTGTTCTTGCAGGCCTCGGAAGAACCGGAAGGAGAAGCAGATGGGGAAGCAGCAGGGAAGAGGCGAGGTAGGAGAAAAGCCAGTCAGAGAAATGGGATGTGAAGGAAAGGGACTCTGGACAGAGTGGCCTCCCTGCCTTTAGGTCTCAATCATGTCTTAGCCAAATTTCGGCTTTGTGAGCCCTTGGGCGAGCTCCCTGTAACTCAGAAATGAGTCTCTGCCCTTGATGCTGTTGCACTTATGCAGCAGTCAGGTGGAAGGTGGACAACCCTGTAATCAAGGTGTATGTCACCACCACCATGTTTGTAAAAGCTGTGGATCTGCTTAGTGGTCTTGCACAGCACAGCCACCCTGTAATCGGGGTCCAGGCCAGCTGTCAGACCTGGCTGCCAATGGCACAGCAACCCATAAGTGGGGTGCCTGCTGCTTTCTAACACAAGAAAGAGAATGTCTGTAGCACTGGATGTCCTGTAATTGGGAGTCAAAGTCCACTGCTATTCCCAGCCAGTCAGAGAGGTGCCCCTGTAAGCAGGGTGGACGTAGCCTCCTTCCGCTGGCCGTAGAGAGCCCAAGCAGTCTGCAGTGTTGTGCTGCAGGATGGCCTTGCAGACCAGAGCCGAGTCTTGTGGGATGACAGCCAACTCTTTAAAACCAGAAGCATGATGAACTTCCTGTGGTCTGGGTTGAAGTCTAGCCTCCTTTCTGATCCCTGTGTCCAGGCACCTGTCCTTTTTCATGCATCTGTGTCTGATACTCTACGTCTGAACCCCTGGGCCGCCCTGTAACAAGGGTGCGAGTCCCGTGCTCCTGGTGGAGGGCTAAATAGCACAGAGCAGTGGACCACCCTGTAAGCAGGGCCCAGGTCTCTATGTGCCTTTGGGAACAGCTCTGTCCTTTGCCTGGCCTGATGCCCTCCCTGTAAGCAGGGCTCTGGGCCCTTCCCTTTTGCCCCTCATGGGCAGTCTGACTAGCCAGATGGGCCATGCCCTGTAACGAGGGTTTGGGTCCTGTGCTTCCTGTTGCACAGCTAGGTTCTGCAGAGCTGTGGATGGCCCTGTAAGCAGGGTTCTAGTCATAATGTACCTTTAGGGACAGCTCTGTCCTTTCCCTGGTCTGACAGCCCTTCCTGTAAGCAGGGCTCTTGGTCTTTGCCTTTTGCCTGCCCCCCCCCCCGGGAAGTGTGACTAGTCAGACAGACCGTGCCCTGTAACAAGGGTGCGAGTCCCATGTCTCTTGATGGAGAGCTAGATTCTCCAGAGCTGTGGACCACCCTGTAAGCAGGGTCCAAGTCACAATGTACCTTTGAAGACAGCTCTGTCTTTTGCCAGGCCTGTTGGCACTCCCTGTAAGCAGGGCTCTGGGCCTTTCCCTTTTGCCCCTCTTGGGCAGTGTGGCTAGTCACATGGACCATGCCCTGTAACAAGGGTTCAGGTCCTGTGCGCCCTGTTGCACAGCTAGGTTCTGCGGAGCTGTGGACTGCCCTGTAAGCAGGGTTCAGGTCACAATGTGCCTTTAGGGACAGCTCCATCCTTTGCCAGGCCTGATGGCCCTCCCTGTAAGCAGGGCTCTGGGCCTCCCTTTTGCCCCCCATGGGCAGTCTGACTAGCCAGACGGGCCATGCCCTGTAACGAGGGCACTGGTCTCAGCCTTCTTGCCCCCTGGGAGCGGAGGAGGATTTTCAGTGTAAGGCTCGAGTTTGAGCAGTTTGCAGCATCGAGCTCCTTTCTGGCCTGGGAACACTTTTTCCCTTGTCAGTGTGTGGAGAGCGAGAGAGAGGAGCGCCTGGGAGCAAAAGCGTTTGTTATTTTCTTTTTGTTGTTAAAATCACTGCAGCGTACTTTATTTTCTTCCCAATGCTGGGAAAGGGGCAAGATGTGTCCTCGAAGCCTTCTCCTCCCACCTCCATACCTAGGGGGATGAATTTCCAGGCCTTTTGGCCTCGGGGAATGTTAGGCTCACTCTGTAATATTTTTGGGCACATGGCCTCCCTGTATGTCAGGGTACAGGCTTTAGGCCCCCTCTTTTTGGGTTCCTTTGGGCACTTGGTAGCTTGATTGCAGAGTTTCTGCCCTCTTTGAGAGAAGGCCACATATTCCCCACCTGAGTCCCTGGGGATGAGTGCCCTGGCACTTGGCCAGCCTTTCGTCTGCGCCCCCATCCCTGGCCTACAGCCTGAAAGCAGGATCCACGTCCCCTTGATTCGGGTCGGGTTGGGTCTCATTCCACTTGGTGAGGTTGGCCAGAGATGATACCTACAGATTACAGGGAAGGTTGCAGGCTTCTGGAGGATACTGAGTGCATTCGGACCCCTGAGGCTTCGTGACCTTCCAGTAACTCAGGTCCAGGTCTCTTCTCCTCTGTTTTGCTGCTCCTGGCACCATTGAGATAGTCTCCCCTCCTACCCTGTAAACAGGGTTGTGCCCCACCCCATCTGACCTTGGGGGAGGAGGCCTCATTTAGCCCTTTGGGCTCTGTGGCAGCCATGATGGGAGGCTGAAGTCATGGCCCTTGTGTCCCCGGACACGGGGCTGCTTTGAGCCCTGATGGAGATTGCCTGAGGCACCCATCAGCTGGCATTTAGGGCTTTACAGGTTTTCTCTCTGGGCTTCATGCCCCAGCAGCCAGCTGTGTGCAGGGAGCACCACCCTATAAACAAGATTGCTGATGTTTGTGGTCACCTTCATGGTGCTGCCCTAGCACTTCTGTCCAGAGTCCTGGCCCCTTGCACTCTGCTTCTGGCTGGCCCAGATGTCGGCAGCTGAGACCACAGACGTCTGCCCTCCCCTGTTTCCGCAGACAGAGGACAGTGGCTGCAGGTCCAGGTAAGGATAAAAGAGGGAGCAAAGTTGGGGCCTGCATCTTCCATCATGCTGACTTGCATCCCATTTCTGTCTTGTCCTTTTTGCCTCCAGAGGAAGAAGCAGAGAAGACAACAGACAAATGGGAGTTAACCGATAACCAGGGCAGAAAACCGTGCCAGCCCACCAGGAGACAAAGGTAAGAGAGTTTGGGTAAAGACTAGGGGTAAGTGAGCCATGGAAGGCTTGTAGTGCCAGGAGGTCCTGGGTCTCCCGGCTTATAAGCAAGGCACAGGCCTCCTGCTCTACTTTCTCCAAATCTTAGGCTACTTTGTGTGGTTGGGCAGAGGGGTTATCTAGGGATTACAGGGAGGCTGCAGGAACCCCTTCACGGCGGGGCTGAAAAGGGAGAAGCTACAGCCACTCAATATGCACTCAGGCAGTGTTGACTTACTCCTTCACCACCAAGTCCTCCAAGGACTGCAAGAACAAAGACTGAGACAGGGTGTGAGGTGGGAGGAAAGCCAGCCAAGAAAAAGGATGTGAAGAAAAGGGACTCTGGACACAGTGACCACCCTGCCCTTAGGTCTCAGTCATGTAAGAGCCAAAATGTGGCTGAGGGAGCCTTGGAGCAGTGGGACCTCCCTGTAAGCAGGAAGCCAGTCACACCACCTTTGTTTCAAAAGGACACCAAACTCGTGACTATAACGTGCGCTGTGAGCACATTCTTTGATATTTTTAGTGGGGTGTGCAATTCTTTGCCAGTCAACTCCACTTCTGTTTTGTGTACTATTGCAGGTCCCTGAAGGGCAGCTGGAGAAGAAGGAACAGAAGCAGGACAAGAAAGCTCAGAAACAACAGGTGTGGGTTGGGGTAGACAGGAGGAAGAGAGGCACATGTTTAATGTATGCTTAGATAAGTACAGATGGAGACTTTTGTGTGCGTCTCTACACTTTCAAATACTCATTAGGAGCAAGCAGCTGCACGCTTCAAGTTGCACTGTGCATTGTCTTGGGTTGGTCCTGATTGTAGGCAATGAGGTTGAGGCATTGTGCTAGCTGTGCATATTGATGTGTGGTAGTCTAGGTTTTTGCAGGTTGTTTGGCTTTGCTAGTTGAGTAGTTGATCAAAATAGATGTGATTGAAGGTAGCGTGTAGGGTTTTCTGGGTTTGGTTGCTGAGCAGTTCTTGGTGTTAGTGTAGAAATGCAGGTCTGTGCTCAGTTGTTAGTGGCTTGAGTGTAGCATGCTTTGGCTGTAGGTTGTGGGGCCAATTTGAGGCTGTTTGTGTTGTGATTTCTTTGCATCTGTAAGTTAAGACTCCATGGATGTTTGAAAGGGTTAATCTCCATCTCCACGGAGACAAAGATCTCCTGTGTCCAAATGATCCTAAAGGTAGTTGGTGTGCTCAACATCAAACCGGATGTGCATAGCTGAACAATAAACGGTATAAAAAACTTTTCACCTTGTGGCTGGTGCTCTCCTACATTGAGAAGACTTGGTCATTATCCTTTCCTGTTGAGAGCTGCCTGGAGGAATAAACCTTCATTCTGTCTACTGATCTGTGTTCTTACTTGTTGAATGCAAATATTTCCTGTTCTGATTTACAAATGGTAAAATAATGGAATAGGTGATGCCTAGTCACCAATTTACAACTGTTAATGCACTGTAGGAAATCAGTCCTGATTTATTTGAGGAAATAAAAAATAAGGTACAGTGAAGTTGTGGTGCTTGGGTGCAATCTGTTGAAGTTCAGCTGTCCCTTGCCTCAAAAGAAAAAAATAGTCTTAATAAAAAGAAAATGCTCAGGAAACTTTGTGAGCTTCTTGGTGTTTTTTTAGTCTAGTTGTTTCAGACCTTCTTGTCTGATTGCCTTGAATACAAGTCTTGCTATTTCTAATGGCATGGTGTGGGTGCTTTTTAATATAAAATAAAATGGACCTGAGGATGTATCTTAAGCAACAAGGTCCAAGCTGTCACTGAGCTACCAACTAACCAGTTGGGTTTGGATTATGATGCCGTACGAGGATACGGCAGAGACACAGCTGCTAGGCAGGCACCGGGGGTGTCTAGGGCCCTTGTGGGTCCAGCCACTGCTCTGAGCATCCTCCACATCTATGACATGCATTTGGGGCATGATCAGTCCTGGCTCTGAGGGATGGGGGTGGTGCAGCAGCAACTCCTACCATATCCATTTTGGGATGTGTTCCTTAAGGACAAGAAGGGACTGAGGCAGGGAGCAGTTCAGTGCTGTTACCTTGGAAAACTGCTTCTGCAACATTCCCAAGGGCTAGATGCACGGGGTATTGAAGAGGTGAGAGTGTAACAGGGTGCTCTGACCCCTTTTAGGAGCACTGGGGCTGAGGGCTATTGGAGTAGGGATGTTGGGCAAGGAAGTGGCCTAGAGATGCATGGGTCTCTGCCAGTGCAGAGTTCACGACTGCCCCAAGCTCAGCACCTTCCAACACCAAGGCTGTGGGCGGCTACTAGTCCAGCTGGGCTCAGAGAACCTCCTGCTCTTGTCAAGGGTGAGGGGTTCAGGGCCAGCCACAGTGCCACAAGCCAGGAGAACCCGCTGCAAGCATTCACAGCCCAGTGCAACCCATCAATACTGGGTGGTCTATTGGTGCCATGGGCAGGAGCTGTGGGGTGTGCCAATTTGGGGGCTCAGGCCAAGCTGTGACCCAACAGCAGCCAGGTAAGACATTGACACTGGAGAGGCTCCAGGTCAGGACCAGTGCCGCTGAAGCTTTTAAGAGGCAGGGCCCGTGCAAGCCCCCCAGAACCAGGCTCAGCTGCACTCTGACACTGGGGTGAGCTTTGCCCCTGAGTCCAATCCTGTGCACTGAGCGGGAGAAGGGCTTGTAGCAATTGTTGGTTTTTGATGAGCTGCACAGCTGCAGTTTGAATCTAGGGGATGCACAGCAGGAGGAAGGAGAGTGTGCTGGGGGTACTCAAGAGTTGGTAGCTAACTCTGGGTTTGCATCATGCCAAGCAGGACACTTGGGGTCAGAGCCAAAAGGGGATAGTGGCTCTTTCAGAGGCTTGTACCCATGCTAGTTGGATAGAGCTGGCTTCAGTAAGGAGCACGGGCTTCGAGGGGTTCTGCATTAGTGCTGACTCACACTTGCCTGTCTCTCCTTTGCTGCATTCATCAATTAAGTTACCCTCTTCCTGCAACCCCACAACAGCTCCTCTGCTGGACCCACCAATAGCACAGGAGGCAGGAAACAAGTTAAAAAATTGGGGGAATCATAAAATAAACCCTCACAAACTGGCCAAGGTTTCCAGCTCCATTTTATTTAGAGGTGGAGGATGCCACTTCCCTAGAGCAATTTCCACGTGATAGCAGATAAGAGTATTTTCTGGGCCTGATTTGGAGCAGACCTGCTTTAAGCAGGTGAGAGTCATTCTGGGCAATGATCCTCATTGGGTGTCCTGGTATGAGAGATGGGGATGGGAGATATTGGGGAAAGAGGATGCATGTGGCCGTGCCTGTATACAGTGACCTGCAAGAAAGGTTAATGTCAGGATCTTGGAGAACCTGGTCCTGGGTCAACATCCAGACAGAGATTGTCTCTGCTGCACTCACATGCCCCTGCCTGCCAGGCATAAAGTGCAACCAACAGGCCCCAGGGGCCTTGGTCTGGGCAGGGAATAGCGTGACCACCCCAGGCAGTGCAGGACAAGGCCCTCCTATCCACTTCCCCTCTTTGTCTGGCCCCTACCACAGTGGCATTAACAGGGGGGCTGGTTTGTAGCAGGGGCATTTAACATAGATGGGGCAGTCACACGGCGCCATCTCAGGGCCAGGATGTTCTTGGCTCAAAGCAAGTCAGCAGGGCTTAACAGAGCTGCAAGCAGCCACGTGATGCTGTGAGTGTGTGTCTGCATGGGGTAACCCCAGCGTGGTGCCCTTGGCTGTCCCCTCAGCTGTGCTGCTGCCCTGGCTCAGCCTAAGCAGCAGGCATCCCAGGAGGAGTGCCCTGCATCACCCCTTGTCTCCAGGTCCATCTGCCCCATGGTGCAGGGGTGACAGCAGCTGCTCGTTCTCTTCAAGGGCTGCGCAGTTGAGGCATTGAAACTGCACTGGGCACAACACAGCTGACTGGGGGAGCTGGTCACACCATCTCCACCCTCTGGTCAGGGAACTAATTAAGGGGCACACTGCTACCCAGTGACCTGCAAGCTAGGCTCTAAACAGCTTCTGTCCCCTGCTCCCTACCTCATTCCTGCTCTTTCTTACCAGACTAATGCAACCTGCTGCTTGCATGCCACCAGACTGATCAGGTCGGTGTAATCTGAGATGGTTTTGGGAGCAGGTTCTGGATCCCCTTGGATGTGTTCAGCGACGCACCCAGCATCTCTTACAGCTGTCCCCACTGACTCCTGGTCCAGGCCCAGGCAGGAGAAGTTGTGCTGCCTAACCAAGTAGTAGGTCCCTTTCAGAACTGCATTTAACACCAGGTGTCCCCCCTGGCTTCACCAGGGAGCTGATGTTCTTCACAGCAGCACGAAAGGTGCACAGGTCTTTGCAGACAGCTTCCAAGCACAGAATGGAGAGCAGGCAGTCAGCCGTGGGCAGCATCACGGGGACCAGAGGGTTGGGTTTTCTCACATCACATTTCAGAATCTGCTTCACTTTCTTCCTCAGTTTGTCTTCCTTCTCAGCCCACTTTTCCTTGGGAAGAAATGTCTAGTGAGTGATACTGTTGGGTTACCTGCCTGCCTGGGGGCTCGTGTACAGAGAAACAGGAGGCCGTTCAATGAAACCAGAAGGCAGAGCATTAAAATGGACAAAAGGGGATGCTCTTGCCCACGCGGTGCACAATCTGGCTTTGGAATTTGCTCCTGTAAGAGGCCAGGAACCAGGCAGGAGGTGGAGATGGTAACATGCTGCCAGGACCAAAGGGCTGGATTAAAACCACCTTGAGTGGCTCTGCACCATCCTTGGATGACAGCATCAGCACAGCCTGAGTGATAACCAGGAGGTCCCCTCTGCTAGGAAGAAGGTGCTAATTCGTATAATAGAAAATGAGGGCTGAAAGGGACCTCAGTTCAACCCTCTGCTCAAAGCAAGACCATACTCTATCATCCCAACCTAGGCTTTGTCTAGCTAGGTCCCTCCAAGGATGGAGATGCCACCACCTCTCTGGGTAACCTGTTCAGTGCTTTACCACCATCCTAATGAAAAATTTCTTGCTAATATCTAACCTCAGTTTCCCTTGCTGCAACTTGAGACCATTGTTCCTTGCACCTGGAGGGACGAACTCCTGCAGTCACTGCGTACGGACCTGACAGTTGTCATACCATGAATTGTTTGCACTGCCTCATTCACCTAGTGCCAGTGGTGCACAGTACATGGTGCAATGGAATAGTAGGCAGATTGCAGGATCTAATGAAGGAAGCAGGTTTCTGCACACTAATGTCCATGCCTCTCTGAATCAGGTGGTGTCTAAGGTGCCACCCTACCCTGCATTCTGCCCAAGACAGATATCCAAAACTACTTTGCTGCAATACTGTGACCCTCGGAGGTTAAGCCAGTGTGTGGGGCCAGGCCAGCCTGGCTCACTACAGAGCCTGGCATAGTGGAGCCATGGTGCTGTATTTCCTCCCAGAAGTGGTTTTTTTGGTTCCTATATTAAAAACTCCTCCTGTATCCATCACACTTCTGCTCTGACTGGTGCCCTAGGAAGTGTGTTGTTGTGGTTTCAACTTGCAGGCCACCACAAACCCTCATCCCCTCCAGGAGAGGGAGGGAAAGGCCCCTTCTGCCTTAGTGGGTGCCAGCAGCCAGGCTCCTACTTCTGTTCTTCCAGCTCACACACATATTTCACTGCCAGGGTCAAGTCAAACACTCCTGGCTCCTTCTTCAGCCACTTCTCCGGCTCCTGGTGGTTCCAGTTCGTATAGTCCGAAATGATGATCTCATTAAACTTCTCACAGGCAGAAAGGAGCTGGTAAATGGTAGGGCTACTGCCAATATCTATCAGGGTGTCACCCTTCACATCACCTGTGTTGGAAGAGGGGAGAGCATCATGACCCTAGCACGGGAAGCACTCACCCCTGTCTGGGGGTTGTGCTGATTGCGGGTGCTTCTTCCTAATTGCTGCCTTGTGCAATTGCACAGTGCGAACTGTGTAACTGTTTTTTAGCGTGCTTTGAGCTGCCAAGGGAACCACAAGGCCCAGTTGGCAGAGTGTTGGAGGTGGAGTTATATATATAGATTTAGATATAGATATTTATTATATAGAGAAAAATAAATATGTTTGCAAAAAAAAAATTGCTGCCTCAGGCAGGTGATGCACTGGCTGGTATCTCCTTGCAGTGCACCAGCAACCCAACCCAGTGTTCACATGGCCAGGACCTGGGCTCCTCTGGCTCAAGCCCACAGCAGGGATGCAGGACACTGTAGCCCTTCAAAGGCTTTGGACAAGTCCATGAATCTTTCTCCTTCCTGCATGCTGAATGGGGATCATGAGTGAACTATTCCCATGAGCCCAACCTCCTGGTCCCAAAAAACCTGTGTCTCCCCTTGCACAAGTCCCGAGGTGCAGGCCCACAGTCCCACCTCTCCCTAGTCTCTGGCCTTACGCTCCCCAGCTCCAGGTCTGCCAGTGCCACATGTGCCTCAAAACCACCTGCTAGTCCAGCCTCCACCTTGATTGAACAGAGACTAGCACCCACATGTACCCAGGTGAGGAACCTCAGTAGCCAAAAC